TGACTGTAGTAGAAGCTGTGAACAACATCCAGTCCACGCTGCCAGGTGATAACGGTGCTTCTCAGATCCCATGAGCTGTCCACAGGGAATGTGCAAGGGAGGATCAGTGCCTCACCGTAAAACCCAGTGACAGTGTTTCTGGGAACAGTAATCTCAAACTCAGCTGGAAAGTGAAGGAGAGAAAAAAATTTTTTTATAAACCTTTATGAGGAACAATGTAATGATCTAGCTGTTGAGGCTGTAATGCTATTTCTTGGCAAGGATGAATGAAACTGAAACTCTAGATAAAACTGTTTCCTTATGTACTTATGCATGAGTTATGAAAAACCCTTACGCCACCTTCACCACAAATCTGGCAGAACAAGGAATGGATAATCGTTATTATTAGTAAGATGAGAGGAATGCTGAATAGTCTCGGTTTTGCTCGATTTATTGATCAGTCCAGTAAAAGATCTGTTAGTTCTAATATGTCTCTAAGCATTTCAGTAAGTTAAAGAATTTTAAGTTCTACTGAAACTCAACATACGTTTGTGATCATATTATGATCATTTTAATTCCATTTTTTAAAACCCTTTTCTGTTCACTCTTGGGAAAGAAAAACAAAACTGTCACTGGGGTGGTAACCTTTTAAAATGTACTAAAACTTCACATTTATTTTTAAAGTACTAATAAGTACCTTTAAGGTATTAATGTACCATTTGAGGCAAATAAGGTACAAATATGTACCTTGTAGCCTGTGTATCTTAGAGTATCCCTTTTAAACTGCTATGAATATAAAACATTGTCGTTATGCTACCCTATAAAAGGCAGAACACAGTATCTGTGCTGTAACAGAAGGGTTTGCTTCTGTTATTGTTCAGAGAAAGCGCCTAAGTTATAATCAGAATTTAATCAAAAGACTTATAAGCAGTTTTTTCCGTTTCAGTGTTAACATATTACAGCCTTTCCTCTTAAGACTTATTTTATTTCCACCTAACGTTACAACATTCAGTACTGAACAAATCTTTTGGAAAAAAAAAAAAAGTTAAAGTTATCCCTAAGCTGTGGCATGCTGAGC